AAAAAAAAAAAAAAAAAAAAAAAAAAAAAAAGATCAGCTTATATTTTTAACCTAAAAATGCATTTCCAGGACTATATTAAAGAGCTATCGACACAACATTTTTAATTGGATTTTAATATGTTTTTCATTGTACAGATCATCCTTTACATATGGATAAAAACTTAGAGCTCTTACTAATAAGTCCATTTTTTGGTTTGGACTTTTCAGCTATTATTTCAAAAGTGATACATGTTAATTATAGAAAATAAGAAAGGGAAAAAATAATTCATGGAAAGTCAGGTATAATCAAAATATAAAAATTTACAAGTCAACCAATACTGTATGATTCCACTTATATGAGGCATCTAAAGTGGCCAAATTCACAGAAACTGCAATGGGGGCTTCCAAGAGCTGGGGGAGGGAGAATGGGGAGTTGTTAATAGGTATAGAAAAATTTTTTTTTGAATACACATAAACTCAGTCAAAATCTTCCCTCCAATTAAAATGTCTCCATTATTTATTTTGTTTCTTTTTAATCCTCACCTGAGGATATACTTTACTGATTTCAAATTGAGAAAGAGAGAGAGAGGTGAAAGACAGATGTGAGAGAGAAACATCGATCAGTTGCCTCCTGCACATGCCCCGACCGGGGATGGAACTCAAAACCTGGGTATGTCCCTGACCAGGAATCCAACCTGAAACCTTTGGTGTATGGGACGACTCTCCAACCAACTGAGCAACCCAGACAAGGATATTTTCTTTCTGCTTAACATGCCCTGTAATGCTCTGCATATTTCAACTTTATCAAGCACCTGTTTTTAGCAGATACTGGTGTCTGTAAATTACTGTCAGGATGCTTGCTATTCTGAAGCATTGTTCTAAGAGGCCCAATAACTTCTATAAAGCATAAGGATGTTAATGGAACTGAGGTTTCAGATGAACTGGTCAATGCTTAAGGCCAATACAACGGACTCATTTCAGTGAGATGTCAGTAGATAAAACTATCATGGTATTCACATATTGACCTTATTGCTCCACTTTTAAAAATCTTGTTGGCACAAAGCTGACAGTCACTTGAAATCATGTGATCTCTCTTCTGACAGATGTTTCCTTGAAAATATCACTGAAGTAGTTCCTTCACTCACGTGTAAAGCATTCAGAAAGCATAACTGAGATACATGATTGTGCTTATTTGTCCCTTAATGTAAACCAACCGCTTATCACCCTCTCAATTTACTTCATGTGCTCAAGTTGTGCAGCACATGCTGTTCAGTCTTCAAAATGGATTTACTTTGTGCAGCTATAGCTAACCCAGCTTCACTTGAATTTTCAAGAAGAGAACTTTAAAGATAAAATTCAATGCTTCTCATTTTAAGGATAGATTGATATATTAATTCACTGAGCACACACATACTGAAGTCCAGTCTATGTGCCTTCTCCTGAGTTCAGCTCAGGGAATCTGAGGTTGAATATGAACCACTTCTTAGTCTTGAAGAGCTCAGGCACCAGTTATTATTGCCTTGTCACTCTGCTGTGTTATCACCTCTAACAACTTCTACCGGTGGCGATATCATTTTGGCATGCAACGCTATCTCCATTTTACAGGAGCGACGAGGCTCAGGGAAGGGCCTTTCTAAGGCACTGATGAGCACATGGGGGACTCTGCAGATATGCCTACACAGTCGTGTTCCTCTTTGTAGCATATCATTTAACAGAAAAGATCAGGAAAATCAAAATACTATTACATATATTTATCCAAATACACATGCGAGTATACACACACATACACATATACTTACACACACACACACAGAAATAAGTGTTCACATGGTGTTTTAGAAAACAATGAATGGAATTTGATAATCTAGGTTTGCCAGGGCAGTTTCCTGTAAACTGGGGAATCCCAGCTCTGGGAAGTGTCACCACACTAGTGTCCACTTCTGAAAAGTCACTCTAGCTGCAGAGATCAATCTGGAAGTCAGGGTCTCACCTTGCTGCCACAGTGTAAACTGGCTCCAGTCTCCCTTCTCCCTCAGGTTTTCATCCTCAGGTAGGAAGAGCCCTTTGGCTTTATCCATCACTGCGAGGCCTTCGTCTCGGATCAACTTCCAGTTTCTTTCTAAGGACTAGAGAGAAGATTCTGGTTTTACTTTACTGAAAATATGCCAAGTAGAACACCTTATAATGACGCTCAGCTTTTCGTTTGTCTGATTAATGAAGTAAAGAAATTTTGCTCACATTATCTTTTTTAAAAATTTTTAAATTGATTTTGAGAGAGAGGAGGAGAGGAAAAGGGAGAGGGAAGGAGGGTGGGAGAGAGGGGGAAACAGACACACACACACACACTGATTGGCTGCCTCCCGCACATGCCCCAACCGGGGCCGGGGATCAAGCCTGCAACTGAGGTACATGCCCGTGGCTGGAATCGAACCTGGGACCCTTCAGTCCTCAGGCCAACGTTCTAACCACCGAGCCAAACCGGCTGGGAGGCTCACATCATCTTTATCCACCTGCTGGTGAACTTTCAGGTTGTCTCCATAGCTTGGTTACTGTGAATAATGCTGCAATGAACATGGGGTACAGATCTCTCTTCCATATCCTATTTTCATTTCCTTTGGATATGGCGCTGGGTCACATGGCAGTTCTATTTTTAATATTTTGAGGAACATTCATACTGTTTTCCATAGTAGCTGCACCAAACGTACTGATTTCATACTTATATCTCTCTGAAACCCACCCATTGATTTGTGTGAAAACCCACAGCTGCTCCCATCATAACCCTGCTTTGTGCCGGTCACCCATCTATAAATAATTTCAATACTACTTCACCCCAAGTAGGTAATGCATAAATAGCAAGTCGAAGATTTAATTTCAGTAAAGAGACACTAAAAACCCTCACTTTGGCAGGTCCTCAGAGCGAGAGAATACGGTGATTTTCTCAAGAATGCCTAGATTATGGAAAGAAAAAAAAATGCAGCCCAGATATTCACATCTTCAGTAAAACACATAAATCACCAACACTCCCTGCAGCAATTGTAGCTAGTTCAAGTTGCCAGATAAATCTGTTAGATTCTTGTTAAATTGTCACACAGAAGAGAGGAGAATTACCACTCTAACACATGAAATTACTTTCCAAATGAGGTTTTTGGCACCTTACAAGCATGCTCTTCCCCTCCTCCCTCTGGGTGTTTTAGAAGTTTCTTTCACTTCTTTTGAAAGCGATTTTAGAGGCAACTTCGAAAGGAGCTGATCTTTTGTTACTAAAATAGGGCACAAAGCCCTAGGGAAAATGTTAAAGTAATTGCATCACTAAATAAAATTTCTGAGATTTTACTTAGGAACAAGCTGCTTTTGTATGCGACATGTCATTCCTGCCCCTTCTTACCCCCTCTCCCTGTCTCCAGGGAAATGCTGCTGAGGTACTTTTCCATGAGCAGCAATGACTTTTTAAAAAATATTTTGTATCCTCTTGTTATACACAGCACCCAGGGGCTGGAAGACAGACGAGGGAGCGAACTGCAGCGGCAGGATCTCCCGTCCCAACTGCACGCCTGTGCTACGAGGCCACGAACCCGCCCACAGTAACCACGCACTGCACAGACCTCAAGATTATTTTCATTATAAAATAGCCACTCGTCATTTTCTCTTTTAGGTTCAATACTTTGTCATAGAAATGTACAACTGGAAGGATCCATCATTAAACTAGTGAAAGCGCTGTCATTCGGGGATGATGGAAGAGCTCTTGGAGTGCCCACTGAGCCTAACGTCTCACAGCTCGGTGGCCAGAAACTGTTCTGCGGCCCCTCCTGGACTGTCCCTAAGGCAGCTGTGGGAGGGAGAGGTGAGGCTGTGGTGGCCCTGGGGACCCTGCTCCGCTCTGGAGCCTGAGAGTGACTGATGGCTCCTGGGCAGCGGTTTATCCGCACAGGTAGGGCCAGTTAGACTGGTACCGGTGTGGGCAGTCCTTGAAGGGCAAGGCGCGCCCCTGGGCACTGTGCAGGCCTAGAGAGTTCACATTCCCGACAGCTGGGGGAACCCACTGACCAAAAGCCCACACCGCGTAAACCTGATGAAGCAACGGCCAACACAAAGGTAACAGTCACGATCTACAGTTTTTCTACCGAAGTAATGACTGTGCTATGGCAGCGATTTTCACCCGTGTGCCAAAAGGATTTTAAAAACATGCAATAACTGACTAGTTAGGGGCACTGATCTCTTTTCCCTTAGGCTGTCAAATTAAAAAATGACAACAGCCAACACAACAATAGCTGTCCGGTGTGAATGAATAAAAATCTTTTTTTTTTTTTTTGGTGTGCTGCAGAATTTTAGGGACTCTTTTATGGGCATTAGGGAGAAATCTGGGATGGACCGATTAATGTTAACTTGAAGCACAGACCAAGAAACCACATTGTATAAAATTCACATGGTTAGAGGGGATTAAAGACCAGGCCAAATTACACGTGTGTGTGTGTGTGTGTGTGTGTATCTGTGAGGGGGGGTAGGAGGATATTGATTTTCTCTATAGTAATATTATTCAGTTTTCTGAGATGGCAAAGAACTCCATTTTTACAGAAATTCCAGCAGGAACTTGAAGGCTCACATAGAGTAGGCAATGCCTACACTTTGAAAGGTCTCATATGAAATATTACTTCCTTGACCCTAAATTCATCCATTTCATGAAACTGAAGAGAGAAACGGATAGGGTTGGTATTTGAGTTGGTGGCCTAGAAAACAACAGCTTCTAATTCCCATCTCTTCTTGTGGCTACACAGACTTTAGAAAGCAGAGATCTGATTATTTTCACAGTGCCACGTGGCTTCATAAACCCATCATCAGCACCTGCCTGTTGAGTTAAACCTCAGCTGTATTTGGGACTCTAGTCAACTACAGATGGATTTCCTAGTTTCAAGCCTCATTAGTCCCATAATACATTCCAGCTCCATCCAGTTCAGGGCACTTTCCTCACGTGGCCAGTATTCTGCTAAACCCCCTTGAATGCTACATGTTTCCCTTCTACAGCAAATTAGATTAAGTCCTATTTTTAAAGCCTTCTAAAACTGATTTCTTGCAGAAAGTCTTTAGGGAAGCAAACTAAAGCCAAATTAATTCTTATTTAACTACTGTATTTTTCTTATTATTTTCATTCGATTAAAAATATATATATATATTTTTAGTGCTTACAGCTCTTTTTAAATTTTTCTAGTAGGTTTTCTGGTTCTCACCAGAAGCCCTCTACCACGGAAAATGAAAATGCACATTTTTAAAAAGTCAAATATTATTATAGGTGTTATAATGAAAGCAGCAGTCTCTTATGCAGCTCTTCTGCAATCCTGAATTCAGCCCCAACTATTTCCTTCAGAGCAAGGTAACAATATGTCTTCTTTCCCCTCGTCTTTATCATGCAATCCAGTTAAATCCACACATCTTTCATACATCTGGGTAAATTCACATTCAGGTGTTATAATATTTTGACAATGAGGTATCATTCACACTTGAGTTGTAATGATTACACTTTCTTTCACATGCAGCATTTTTTTTTTTTTTTTATTCTGCTCCCTTTTCTTTGGCTTAATTTTCTAACACACTTACCATTGTTTCTTCTTTACAGCACTAAAGGAGAGCTAGAAAATCTCGGTCCTATTCTCCCCTTTGCCAAAAACACCACACAAGCTATTGCTTTTCTTTCTCTCTCTCTGTCTGCACAGAACCTGCCAGTAGCCATCTGCCTTGCTTTCGTCTGAACAGGCTGCTGTCTGGGCTTGGTGGGCAACTGTCCTTGGCCTCTGCCTGGTATCGGGCTCCCTAATTACTGAATTCTAGTTGTTCCTGAGAAAGAACACACAGCAGATAAAACTGAATTTCTGAAAAATTTCTGAAGCTATTCATACACTTACTTGATTGAAGACCTGGCGTGTACAGCATTCTAGACAGTAAATAACTTCTTTTTAGAATTTTGAAAGCATTGCTCCATTGCATTATAACTTTTAGTGTTGCTGCTGGGAAATCTGATACCTTTAGGTCTTTTTTTTTGGTCTCTCTAGAAGTTTTATAAAAGTCAGTATAGTGTAGTGTTTGGGGGTGTAAACGCTAGAGCCAGACATCTTTGGTATGAAATCTGACTCTGCCACTTATTTGCTGTGTGATACTGGGCAAGTTACTTAACCGCTCTCTGCCGTAGGTTCCTCATTTATAAAGAGGGTAAGATGCTAGTAATTCCCTTAGGAGTCTCTAAGAAGATTAAATGTGCTAAAAGTATATGTGCTATATGTAAGTATAGCTATGATGATAATGATGAAGATTTTAAGATCTTTTATTTCTGGTTTCCTGAAATTTCCAGGCAATGTGCCTTAGTGTAAATGTTGGAAACTCAGCAGTTCCTTCAATATGGAAATTCATCTAACTGAGCTTTAAATATTTTCTCCTGTGTAGGAAAACAGGGTCATTCAGAGAAACATTTTTGCTGAGGCAGGTAGTAAACACTGCAGATTGCTAAGTAAGGGGAGTTGCTAAGGAAAATCATTAATGAATGGCATGAGTTTGCTAGGGCTGCCAGAACAAAATTCCACAGACTGGGTGACTTCAACCACAGGCAGTTATAGTCTCACAGTTCTGGAGGCTGCAAGTCCAAGCTCAAGGTGTTGGCAGGTTTGGTTTCTTTTGAGCCCTCTCTCCTTGACTTGTAGATGGCCATCTTTTCACTGTGTCCTCACATGGTCTTTTCCTCTGTGTGCTCACACACCCTTCTGTGTGTCTAAATTCCCTTTTCTGATAAGGACACTAGTCATATTGCATTAGGGCCCACCCTAACAGCCTCATTTTAACTTAACTATCTCTTCAAAGGCCCTATCTCCAAATGCAGTCACATTCTGAGGTACTGGGGGGGACTAGCGCTTCAACCTATGAATTTGGGGGGGGAAACACACTCAACCTATGACACTAATGCAGCTTCAGGTTAGGACGAGCTCCAGCTGAGAAAGCAAACAGCAGACAGAGGGGATCAGGAATACATTCACATCAACATGGGAATAAGTAATAAGAATTTGATAGGAGCAAAACAAAATACAGTTATGGGGAAAGGCAGAAAGAGCTATGCTTTTAACCTGTCGACAAAACATAATACAAGAAC